AATTGTTTTAAAAGCAGTTAAAAATAATGATTAAATTATGGGATTTACATGAAAGAAATCCTTGGCCCATTCATTTTTTTAAATCATGGCAATTTGTTTTTTAAAAGGTGTTTGAAGTCCTTGAATCTACCTCTTGGCACCATTAAAAAAAATAGTGGGTTATAATCCCCTAATGTGCTTAAATAAAGCCTTCAATAGTTTAAATTGTTATTAAACATCTTTTGGGATTATAATTTTATGGCTTTTTTTGCCTGATTAGATGATGAACGTGAAGATCATCAAATACTCATCATATAACAAACCAATTACATCGTATAATCCCCAAAATGAGGTTTGAATATCGACGTTTTAAATTAAGCTGGATTTAAAGGATGCAGAGAATTCATAATGAGCAAACAAAACACTTGAAAAGACACCCCCCAAACTCCCTTCTACTTTTGAACCAAAAGGTACCATTGCTGGGACAAAAGCATAACATGGGCTGAAGGAGAAACTAATCCCGTTGCCACAAATTAATTTTCACAGATCTGGTCATAGGCAAGATTATTCTTTCCTCCTTCCCTTCCTCCAAGCTTTTCCATTATTTTGCAATCCCTGCTGAGGGCTATTTGTTACAGTGAGATCTGCTTGAAAAACGGTGGTGAGATCTGATCCCTGAATGTGAACTGATCCAGGAAATAATAAAATAAAATAAACTACCAAAAAAAAAAAGAGGGCCCTTAAAATGTTGTCGTGCTGCAGCACGCTCTGAAATTATCCTGAGGGCAACTCTCTGGAGCTCAGCTCCAGCCCAGGACTGGTTCACCCCAGTCCCTCCTCTAGACCCTGCCATGGCATTTGATGTTCATCTGATGTCACCCCACAAGCCTCTCCTGATTTTTGACTCAACTTTTCCAGTTTGAGGATGCCCTCACCTCTTCACCAAACTCAAGTTGTCTTTTTTTTTTTTTTCCCAAATAGTAACAAGACATTCCTTCCACCTCAAATCTACAGCAAAATCCTAAAAATAGATTTCACAAACCTCAAAATTTACAGGCTGCTGTCATAATCCACCATCAAATAATTTCAACACGCTCCACAGCTACATTTTGCGTAACTAATGGCCAACCTGGGCAGCTCTTCCAACCCATACATTTAATCAAAATTAAATCAGAATAGCAAATAATTAAAAATAAATCCTGCAAAGTGTCAAGTTTAAGTCCGGTCACCATTTTTGCTATTGTTTTAGCTGAAAATTTTTTTTTGTTGTTATTATTCCAAGGGGAAGACAAAAAAAAAAAAAAAGGACAATTTGGACGAATTTATCCCCTGAAGTGTTTCAGAGTATACTGCCCGCATCCGCAGAGGACAGCACTTGCTGACTCTTTGAGCATACATCAACTCAGTTCTGCACATCAGTCAAAATACTGGGAGGGTTGCAGCATGACACTGAGTGGGAACTATTGCCCAAACACTTCAAGAACTAAAGAGGCTATGGCCTGGCAACTGATTTTTTTTTTCTTCAATAAAGAAAAAAAAATAATTTCCTTTCTAAGTGGGAAACACGAACTAAGGGACAAACCTTAGGAAAGGAAGTACAAAGGACAAACCTTAGGAAAGTACATAAAGGAAGACTTAAGACTCTTGGAGATGGAGTAACTGCATAGAAGGAATTAAACCAGCCTATATGCTTTTTAAAGATTATATTAGTCCAATATTTATTTTAAATCTTTCCAATCATTAATCATTAGTATGACAGCCACAGCAATTACCATCTATTTTGTTTAATTCCATGCCACTGACGTGTAGTAATACTACAATTGTGAGAAAATTAAAAAATTGCCTTTGAAAAGGAGGGCTCCCAACTAACATGCCAATTAGGAAGCACCAGCAGTTAAGGGAATGCTGGATTTTGCACTTAACCACCACTCGTTTCTTTCCTGCCGTTTTCCAGATGGGAAAGTGAAGGCAGGTTAAGCACTGGGGGCAAAAGGGAACTATTGCCTGCCCTGACACGTCCCCTGCCTGAACAGAACCACCTCCTTGTCTCTCCTCACCTCCTGCTTTAGGGAGGACCTTGTGCCCACCCTAGGGAAGACCAAATCAGTAATAATAAATAAATAAATGACGTGGGATCTTCAGTTTCCTCGGCTGACTGCTCCTCAGGATGACCTTCCTCCCACAGCGAGGAGCCCAGCTGGGGACACTGTCATGCCTGTGTGTAGGGTTATAAGAGCAGTGATGAGGTCCAGAGACCCTCAAAAATGAACTGGGGTCTTAATTCCTTCAGTCTCGTGTCCCCCTACTCCTCAACTCTGATTGCAGCCATGAGTTGGACCTGGAGGTTTTTTGCAGAGAGGACAGCACCCCAGGCAGCTTATCAACATGTTATATTGCTCTAGCACTAACTGTAGTGTTAACTCTTCCCCATGTTATCAACGCGCATGCCTGGAGGACATCTCCCTCCATGCAGGAGACCCACCGCTCT